ACGGGATCACATCCTGCAACCGGAGTACCGTGTTAAGCTATTTGTCGGTTTGGGTTTGTATTGCAGTTAGTTACACTGACTATACATTATGTAATTGGAACCTTTAAACATTATTTACAAAACAAACCCACAAACGATGGATTGAAACAGGTATATAGATAAACTTTCCCCTTTAAACCTATATATATCTAAATAACGGTCATTCTTGTATACGTTAATCAATATGCGAAATGTACAAATTATGGCGGCCATATTGAATTTCAAAATTTTGTATTTGTTGATTATAAACGTAAAATGCTCTAACTTCCAAGTGTTCAATGACTCCAAATACTCTGGAAAATATGTGTAAGTACTTATCATACATATATTTGTGTATCTATACATATTGGTACCACCCCCTGTAACCGGCGACTAATGAGACATTCCGTATCAAATTGAGATTTTTCACATTTACCGGGCCAGATTTCCACATGCACATGTTCCACGTTTTTGATAATTATCTCTCGTTGACTCACTTTATGTGATTGTGCATCTTGCGCAAGAATAGGTCCTCTACGTTCCTTGTCCGCCATGCTCTCGGCTTAATTGCTGCCTTCGGCTGTCTTTAGCCGAGGGGACTATTTGTTTTATATAATAGCTATATTTTCAATTATAGTATATCAGTTCTATTTTCTTGTAATATGATGTATATGTACATGTAACTGTTCTGTTTCACTGTGTCTTGAAAAAGGAGCGGATCGCTCCGAAAATTTGACAACCTAAACTTGTCCACACTGTTGGAATTACTTCTTTGCCCCATACAAATATTGGTAATAGATTCATCGCGAAAGCCAACTACTGTGACAGTTAAAGGGATATCAAACCCATCTTTGCTGCCAACATTTCTCATTTCGTTTCTTCTAAACTCGTCCTGTGCAGTAAGGATTTCGTTAAAGAATGCTCCCTGATAAACCTCTATGATTCTTTCAAACCATTTCACTTATTTCCCGTTATTTAAGTTTCTTTAGTATCAGAGCGTACCTGAGGATTACATCTTCGTGTAAATCCTGACTTCTTTATGCGAGTCACGCTCAAATATATCAACATATAAAAACATCACTAATTGATTCATCGTGTTTTTTAAAAAGATGTTTCAGGTTTAAAAAATGATAATTTTCAAACTGAAAGAAGATATAAATACCTGTACAAAACCCCTCAGAAGTTTTCGATATCAATTTCAAATAAAACGAAATTTACACTGCAAGAGCGCTTTTGTCGTCTATACAAACAAAGATTGGTATCACACACAGGAAGTAGCAATTTGTCAACCTTTTTGATAACGCAGAAGAAAAAAGCCTAATCATGAAATTGTGAAGTTTGTTGTGTTATTTTGACTGTTACTACTCGGTCTACGCGTAGCGTCGGTCGTTAGCGCGGGACGTGCTGTTTACAATAAGGACGGGAACAAATTAATTACGAATTCATGGAATGGCAATCCAATACGTCCACTTCATACTGAAGACAAGTGACAAACGGGCACCTTGAAAGGATGAAAGGAGCTGGGTTTAGGATCCCTACATATCTAATTCGAGACCCAGAAGGGAGCTTCTCCGGCCTCTTTTATCTATTGTCCGGGAGAGGCGGGGATAGTATGCACACCGTGTTTGTATGACCACCTTTTGACGTACTTCTGATCACTTGAAGTAAAATCTTCTATCGTCACAGGTGAATTAGTCACCAGCCTCCCACAAAATGTTTAGAACAAGTTTAGTCGATCTAATTAATCGCCATATTCAGTTAATATTTGTGCAATTTCCCATAAATAACTGAATATTTACTATCTTTTGCATATCTCTCTCATGCGATCTACCGGATTTATGTATAGGTGTCGGTACCGTATACGCAGTTAAGGACATAGAACACATTGCTGTGACAAACCTCCCTTAAAAAGAGTTCCAAACTAAAAGATTTTGATGGGTGGTGATATAAAATTGATGCGTAAGTCAGAATGCAGGCTTAGTTTACCGATTCACTAAAACATTAGAACATATACTGTATATGTTTTTTAAGAGAGCATTGGAAAGAATTCCGGGAGTTATATATTTAAATTTGCAATCGGCTCACTTTTTGGGAATACCGACCAAAACTTTAAAATAGCATTCGGATACCAGAATGACTTTTTTGAAGTTTCTCTTTCACTGGTAAGTGACGTTAGGTTATGTATGTTTGTTCAAAGCAAACACTTTCAATTATTGCCCAGAATTAAAAAGAAGAGAAAGAAATGTGCAATATACCACTACGTTCGAGTTCAACATTTGATAAGATGTTAACCTTATTACAGCGGTAACTGTTCAAAGGGAAGTAACTCAGTGTAAGTATTACGCCATCTCCGAGAAAAGGGACGCTTTAAATACGTAAAATGTCATTATTTCTTGTAGAAGCAATCCTCATGAAAGATGCAATTTGGTATCAAACATGGCTGTTAAGGGAATGTTAAACACCGCTAAAAAAGTACGCAATGCATCAAAATCCAAGGTAGATGTAAAACGGGGGATGTAAACATTTGAGATGTACTACACTGTAATTAGGACGCTACCATCTGGTATGTAAACCAAATTCATATTTTGTAGAGACTGTACTGTTATCCAATCAAAAGGCAGCCCGGCATTCAGTCTGCGCAAATTCAGCTTAAACGTTACTTCATGTATGAAGGGAGGTAACTCGTTGTAATGTGACGTACAACATTCTCAGCAAGGCGACATCTTATGATGGATATTCCATAACAAGGATTGCTAAGGATCCCTGTTCCACTGCACAGAGTTTTTTGCCTAAATACAGTAAAACCTTTAGCCGATTGGACGACGTCACTTCCGTAGACCTCAATGGCTTAGAGCGATAATATAACAATCAGAAGTCCAGGGTTCGAATCATGGTCTGATCCCGTTGAAGATATATAGTATGTTTATTTCATATGAAAGTCCCGCGAGGTATAGTTTTCTTTTCAGAAATGATTTATCAAAGATATAGTCTTGCCAGAAAAAACGCAGTTTCCAACACTTAAAGTTTTGGGCAGTGGTTCGGGGCACAGGGAGCTGATAATTTGTTACTGCTGTTCTCCATTATATGATCATTGGGGGTGGCATTTTTACCGAAAATCAATCTTAACCCCCCAAACGTGTAAAATTGCACCTTAGTTTAAGTCCAAATAAAGCTGTAACAAATTTTCAGGTCCCTGTGCTATGGAGTTGTATGTATAACTTTAGTATATCGGTCTTGTGAATTAGAAATGTTTGTATCATTTTCTTGTCAGACGGACTTCAATTCCATTTCGGTATTTCACCATATTTTACGTTCTTTTCTGTACAGCACCCAATGTACTTATTAGTTTTATTTCTACAGACTTTAGTTTTATTTCTACAGACTTTACTCCAATCTATCTTGCGTTCTTCAGTGTCCATCTCATGATGATAATGATGTGGGTGTAGTCTGGGACCCCGTTGGGAATAAGCCTCCCATAGGTCTGATGGGTTATACAAGGTAAAGGGGAAAATATGAATAAATGACTTCGAATTTCCAAACTGTCTGTATACCGTATATATCAATTGTTTTGTTGTGTATGCCTTTTACCTGAAAAATGTCATTATTGTTTTATAATTGCATATCTTTGATAAGGACAGTATAAATGTCATATTTCATGGTTTTCCCATTCCCTATAATCACTCAAAAGTACATTACGTTCATGTACTTGTTCTACAGCAGAGCTGTGGCCAAACAGGTAACCAGACCTAAACACTAATATCATTTCTAAATAAAGTTTTGTTTGTTAACTGAAAAATTAATTTGATTTTATCCTGGACCGGGAGAAAGAAGACGTCAGATACCTTAGCCAGCCCGCAATCGTCTCGTGTCAGAATAACAAATGGCCCCTTTTCGGAAAGTATATGTGTTCATATATTTGGTAATATTTACTAATAGGGTCTATTTGTACTGGCAAAATCCTGTGTATTCTATTATATTAGTTTCTGATTGACATACGTTCTGCCTTGTTCCCTTTTAAGGATGCTAATCGTGCACAAATAAATCGTGTTTCCCTTTGTGAACATAATTATGGCTTGAAATAAATATTGCGTACAGTGGAAAAAGTGAAGTTTTACCATTTTCTTTTTAACACAGCTTATAAAAATATTCTTAAGTTAACCGACAGCAGGTGTAAAATTCGAAAATAGTTGAACATAATACTGGGTCAGTCCCTATACCCTAGTGTTGTCATGTTTTATCATACCAATTATCAGAGTATTTTCATCAAGTGTCTGCTTTGACACTTCAAAACACATTCTGCTATACCACCACAGGAGAAAACTACATTCCCAATTCCCAATGCTAACAGTTTTGTGGTCTCAGTAATTTCAGCACTTGTATTAAGGTAAAGGGTACCACAGCATCATCTATAATCAAGAAGAGTTCCACTCAAGACTTTTTTACTTGGGTAATCTCCCTTCTTTATAGGAGATGAAGAAACCAAAAGGAGTTTTTTCTGGCTAAGAGTAACTTCCCCTGCCTAGTAATTATTTAAGATCCTCAGTTTGACCCCTGCAACTTTTTATTGTTTTTTTCTTTCAATTTTCTTTTTTTCAAACATTCAAATTTCAAACAACCATAATACCGTAAAATGCACCGGAACACATGATCTTTATTGAATACTTCTTTTGAAAAGGACCTTAACAAATATTTATTTTACAATAAATGAAATAGGAACAATACAGTTTTATTTGTTGGTACCTTTTATCTTAATGTATATTTCTAATCACAGAGGCAAGGCAAAAGACCAACCCCCACCCCTTTGCTTTTAACTTATATAAGATACCCATGTTGCTCCGGATGGGCTGGGGTTAGTCTGTGCCTTGCCCATGTGTTTCTGATGATGAAGAGATTTTCATGAACCAGTACTTTCAGTTCTTTAATAAACGTTTATTTCTAAAGATAAAGAGTTCTTCATGAATCTAAGTCCTGGTTTCTTCAGAGGTACCATAAAAAGACAACTAACATACAAATATGGAGGGATAGCCAAGCCTTTTATTCTTATTTTACGTTTTTGATATAAAACCTAACAAGGGACTATCCTCTGATAATTCATACAACATCAGCTAATCCACTGAAGTGCTGGGAGGTTGTCGACACACCAACAAACCTCATCAACACCTACGGCAGGTATACTGTGTCTGCGTGATCTTTCCGTACTTTAAATGGTCTCTATAAAATGGGTAAAAATATGGAAAGAAAATAAATTAAAATATACAACCGAAAATGCAAAAGTTATAAATCTACCTTCCAATTTCCGAGTAGCCGCTGATCAATTTTTTTTCCGAAAAAAGGAAGATATCATTTAGAACTTTTCAAGAGTTATCTACTGCACAACATGTTTAATTAATTAAATTAGAGGAAACAAAATTACAAGCTGTATACACTTATGGTCAAGGGCAAAAGGTTTGTTTTCATTTGGTAGTGACCACTGGTTCAGTCAATAATGTTTTTACTTTCTGACATGGAGTTTTTTCGAACTAATACCTTAATGATGGGTAAACTAATGAATGAGTTCACTGTTGCTACCGACAACAAATGTTTCACTGTTGCTAACGACAACAGTTGTCGTTACTATGGTGACTAGGATGACATCACACACATTTGTCGTCACAAGCTACGCCCCATGACACACACCCTCTGGCAAAGATTACAGGTGTTTTCGACATCTATGACTCAATCTGTAGAGAAATCAAAAGAAATGTTAAGGACAAAACCTTCAAAATTATTTCCATCAAAGTGCTTTTTTATAGTTTATCCTGGTGCTATATAAAATATTAACAACTTTTCAAAGGTAGAAAAATCACACTGAATTGAGTGACTTTAGGCGATGAATTTGTCAATGACTTAATTTATCAATGACTTAATTTATCAATTTACCTTTCTCTTATTCTTGAAATAGTCGTCACTTTTACATATCATTTTATACTCTTGAAATATGTTTTAGCAGTTTTCACCAAACACCAAACAATTTGTATTTTTATTGTCACTATTTTAAATTTGAATAGTATCAAAAAAACATGCAAGTTCACAAAATCGCAATTAAAATGCAGAATCTGTAGAAAGTCTGATGCATGATGAAAATGATGTTATTGTGAGGAACAACAATAAAGAAAAAAGTAGTTCAAAATTAATTTCACCGGTCACCAAACACTAAACAACACAGCAAGAAGGTTTAACTCACTCACCCCTAAAATTGCATAATGAACTACATATTCAAAAGAGTTTGAATGTGTCTTCAGGGGTGGATGAGTTAACAGGATATCCCATTACAAATTGTAGGGGGAGAGAAAGTCTCTGGATTAATTAATTAACATTATGAATCAAAATGTAACATGCAAAGTGTCATAGTCCTAGCATGCTAGCACTGAGCCTTGGAAGATAAGGTAGTAACCAAAATTAATTACTCAAAAATACTCTTGATTTTGTCTGCAATAAAAATAAAAACATGCACACATATTACAACAACAACCCACCCCACTACAGTGAAATATTACAGCAACCCACCCCACTACAGTGAAATATTATAACAACCCATCCCACTACAGTGAAATGTTACAGCAATCCACCCCACTACAGTGAAATGATACAACAACCCACCCCACTACAGTGAATTATTACAACAACCCACCCCACTACAGTGAGATATTACAACAACCCACCTCAGTACAGTGAAATATTACAGCAACCCACCCCACTACAGTGAAATATTACAGCAACCCACCCCACTACAGTGAAATATTACAACAACTCACCCCACTACAGTGAAATATTACAACAACCAACCCCACTGCTATCATAATATATTATAACCCCCTGCCCCTACTTTTGAAAAATATTTTACAACCCATCCTGCTACAGTGAAATGATACACCTCATCCTAAGTAGTGTTGTTACAACATACCCAGCTAAATTGTGTTATTACAACCTACCGTTCTAAAGTGAGTTTTCATGACGTATTCTGCTAAATTGAGTTATTACAAACTACCCTGTCGCAGTGTGTCATCACAACTTACCCTGCTACAGTGTGTTATCACAACCTACCCTGCTACAGTGTGTTATCACATCATACCCTGCTTAAGTGAAATGTTACAACCCATCCAGCTACATTGTAATGTTACAAATCACCCCTCAAAAGTGAAATGTTGCAACCTGCCTCACTACAGGGGAATCTAATTTAGTACTTTGTTATAGTAAATAGTTTACAATACTAAAGTTCTGATGAGTGAAGTTCCATTGAACAACTGAACCATTAATGGAGAGCATGAAGAGCTACCTGTCCATGTAGGCTGTATCTATACCAATGACATGCTACAATCACGTGACTGTATGATGAGCTACCTGTCCATGTAGGCTGTATTTATACCAATGACATGCTACGATCACGTGACTGTTTGATGGCAGGCATCTGTAATGATGAGAGAAGTGTATGCATGCTCTAGTGATAAATAGGTCACCGCACAACAAATCTAGGTCATCACACAACAACCAATGGTCACCTGTTGACCTCCTAGGCTATGACCTTGACCCGATGACCTCTATTCCTCCTCTGCGGCGACCTCAGTTTCAGGTGCGGGTTCAGGTGCGGCTTCGGGATTTTCCTCCGATTGTTCCATTGTCTCCAAGAGGATATCTTCATCCTTCTTACCAATTGCCAGTTCAGCTTCTATTTTTTTGGCTTTTGTTTCGAAATAATCTACCCTGGTACCGTATGTTCTAAGGTCAGTGTGTCTCTCGTATTTGCTGTACATCTGAACTTTGGGCTGTTTAGTGTTTAATTCCAGAATCACACAAGTTAGACATCCATTTCCATTAGGTTTTCAATTCATCAGTTTCATGAAAAAAGCCATATTGCAAGGTTTGAATATCAATATTGTTCACAATGAAAGAAAAGTCAGGAAGACACTCCACATTAATACAAGTGATTATTTTTGTTTTTGTTGAAATTCACGTCGAGAAGAATGTCCGAAGTAGCACAAAAACGGCGAAAGATCCATACGATCAGTTGTAGGATGTATGGTGCAGGAACCGAACCAGAATAGTGGCCGAAAGTGCAGGTTTCATAGTCGTATAAATCGGCATCATCAGAGTGTGTAGGTTATAGATGTGCCCATACATGGATGCAGAGTGAGAGGAAAGAAAAAGGATACAAGTTATATATCATATATATAATATACACATACACTACGGTACACTTTCCTACCTGTTTAAACAAGTTTTTCCTTTCATCAAAAGTTCGTCTATCCACATTACGTTCAAATTTACTCGCTACTTGTATCTTTGGCTGGAAAGATTTAAATGTCATCCAATTTTGTAGTATGGCTAAATCACATATTTTTTTGCATGACCATAATTAGAAATGAAATGTCAAGTTCGATTCACAAACATCTCATAAAAGAACTACCCTGGTAACAATTTTCTTTTCATTGTCCTAAATGATTTCACGTGTATCAAAACTATGCGCTTACTTGTCAAAACAATGCTACTGAGATTAGATAATTATCGTGGAATTTGTGGACCTTGTGTAAAAATATCACAGAAACTTAGCAACATGTAGATTTTTTTCATACATAGTTTGAAATTCTTAACAAAATGATCCCACAAACTTTTAAACAATAAACTGTATACCGAGAAATATTGGCCCGGTCAAACTTTCACCCTCCATCAGAATAGTTCGTATTTGCCCAGTGTTCATCTTGCCTTTACATTTACCTTAATTACTATGTTTTGTTGGTTACTAGTGTTCACTGTAATAATATATATATATATGCCCTCGTTATTATTATACTCCGCCCGATACAGCGGGGTGCTCCGATTAACTAAATGGAGGAATCTACAACACCAGCCAACCAACCAACCAACCAGCCAACCAACCAACCAACCAACCAACCAGCCAACCAACCAACTATGGCAGACTAAAAAGGCGAAAATTAAACAGCAGCCAAAATGTCCCAGTATGTAGTATCACTGACCTCACACAGATTGTTTAACCTTTAACCTTGTTAAGACTTTAACCTGAACCCTCTGTCCCCTATGAATGTGATGATGTCCATCACAACACCACATTGGCACAGTCCACTTATGAATGAGAGTGGACAAAGGTTGCTTATGAAGGACAAACTTACGGGAGCACTGGTGTATTTTTCTGCCAATGGATCAAATCTGAAACAGATAAGGTTAAAGTTCAAAAACTGATTGAAATTTTTCAAATAACATCTTTTTTTATTTGAACCAAATTCGTGGTTAAGTTCAAATGAACTAGTTCAAATAAGAATTGTAAGTAATATCATCACTTTAATTTTCTAATCAAATTCATAAATGGTCCATGAAGATATCTCTTTTTTCTGAAAGACCGAATAGAAATTTTATTTTCTGAATATCCTGTTTAAATCTCATAGAGTTTAAATTGCAATAAAGATGTAAATAATGAGGATAGGAGGAAGGGGGGTCATTTTAAAAGTGTTATATGTAATCTACTTACGAGTCATCAACCTGGACAGCCCTCTTTTTTCTGTAATAATTAGAGACAGACACAATATTCTATTAAAATATGTATGACATACAGGTCATGAGAAAAATAAGTTATGATCAAAGGGTTGATAATTCAAATTCCAAATAGTTTAAAGCTTGCATTGAGATGGTTTTATAGAAAAAAGGAAAATATTACAGATATTTTTATTTTGCAATCAAATTTGGCAGTCCCTGATCCAATGAAGCACAAGGGATAATTCACTTACCCCTTGTTCATCTGTCTAGCTCTCTCAGCCAGTTCAATCATCTAAAAAAAATATCCACAATGAAACATTACAAAAAAACAAATGAAATTGATGATTAGAAATAATGAGGAAAAAATCTAACATAGTACTGCTAGTGTTTTAGACGTCATACTGCTAGTGTCTTAGACGTCATACTGCTAGTGTCTTAGATGTTAGACGTCATACTGCTAGTGTTTTAGACGTCATACTACTAGTGTTTTAGACGTCATACTGCTAGTGTCTTAGACGTCATACTGCTAGTGTCTTAGACGTCATACTGCTAGTGTTTTAGACGTCATACTGCTAGTGTTTTAGACGTCATACTGCAAGTGTTTTAGACATCATACTGCTAGTGTTTTAGACGTCATACTGCTAGTGTCTTAGATGTCATACTGCTAGTGTCTTAGACGTCATACTGCTTAAGTCTTAGACATCATACTGCTAGTGTTTTAGATGTCATACTGCTAGTTTCTCAGACAGAAGTCATGCTTCTAGTGTCTCAGACAGAAGTCATACTTCTAGTGTCTCAGACAGAAGTCATACTGCTAGTGTCTCAGACAGAAGTCATACTGCTAGTGTCTCAGACAAAAGTCATACTTCTAGTATCTCAGACAGAACTCATACTTCTAGTGTCTCAGACAGAAGTCATACTGCTAGTGTCTCAGACAGAAGTCATACTGCTAGTGTCTCAGACAGAAGTCATACTGCTAGTATCTCAGACAGGAGTCATACTACTAGTGTCTCAGGCATAAGTCATACTTCTAGTGTCTCAGACAGAAGTCATACTTCTAGTGTCTCAGACAGACGTCATACTAGTGGTGTCTCAGACAGACATAGATCTACTACTGGGTGGATTGGTAGAGTGGTTAATAATCTGGACTTCCACCTATTCAAGAGAGGTGGCACTATATATGATGCCGTTGGAAGCACGGTACTACTACGAACAGAACACAATACATCTCCAGCACACACACAGGCATACATACATAGGGAGATATTGGCATAGGACTTGTAATTAGTACCTGATAAGGCAGCTCCTGCAATTTCCTCAAAATTCTATAGATTAATGTACAAATGTATATGTTAATTGTATTGATCGTATAAATTGCATATCTATGTACCGGTACTATAAAGCGCTTTGAAGTAGCTTGTTCTAGCTAGATAGGGAGCTATATCGAATGTTGTATATTTATTTCTTTATTTATTACTGATGTCTCGCTCTCAGATGTAATACTACTGTTGTTTCAGACACACATAGGTATATCCCGTTGTCTCAGACTTACATCATATTGCTGGCTCTTGAAGCGCTCCTCCAACTCATACTTCTCGTTGGCGAGGTTCTTGATCTTGTTGTGAAACTCAGTTGCCTTCTCCATGAGGGAGGCCAAGTCCAGTCCGTCCACAGACAGTGGCTGGATACGCTGGGCAAGGATGGCCCGTTTCTCCTCCTCCAACTGCTCTTTGGACTTAGCCATGTCCTTACTCGCCTCCTCCTGGGAACGAATACCATAATTACAGTGTACAGAAGAATACCACAATTACAGTGTACAGAAAATACCACTATTACAGTTTACAGAGGAATATTTACATTTAACTAGCGCGCACCATTCAGTTTGTCTGTGACACATGTGGCAGTTATACCAGTTGGTCTGCCACATCTATGCAGTTTATTGCTTAAATACCACAACTACAGTGTACAGACAAATACCATTATAACAGTGAACATAATACAACAATTACAGTGTACAGAATACAACAATTACAGTGTACAGAAAATACCACAATTTCAGTGTACAGAAAATACCACAATTACAGTGTACAGAGAATACCACAATTACAGTGAACAGATAATACCACAATTACAGTGTACAGACGAATACAATGTACCACAATTACAGTGTACAGACAAATACCATAATAAAAGTGTACACAACACAACAATTACAGTGTACGGAATACAACAATTACAGTGTACAGAAAATACCACAATTACAGTGTACAGAATACCACAATTACAATGTACACAATACAACAATTACAGTGTACGGAATACAACAATTACAGTGTACAGAATACCACAATAACAGTGCATCATAAGGTATCAATGGGTTAAATGGATTTTATTCGTTGCCAATCAAACAAACAGGTGAGGTTTACTGTTCCTCATAACTCACCAAATTGGAGGCTCCCTTCTTTGTGATGACAAAGTTAGGTGTCTTGGACATCTTCTTTCTCTCCTCCATTTCCTTCAGCTTAATTTTCTTGGCCTCAATCCTCTTCCTCTCCTCCTCCTGTTTCTTTCGCTTCCTCTCCTCCTGTGGGGTAAACACAAATAAATCAAACACCCCCACATCAACCTGTCCTATTTCATCTCATTTATATTCTTTCAGTACCGTAAAAGTTTGGACATGTATGGTTAAGTGTTCAGTTTCCCCTTCTGTAGTCAACTGTACAGTCAAAAGTATCTTACAAGTTCTCAAAATGGGTGATAGCAGGTTGTACGTGTCTTGTTCTTTCAGAGAGGAAAAAATTGCAAAGAAAAGTAAGGTTTCCTGAGACAGAAACAGGATCTATAAATGTTCCCTAATTAGTTTTCTTTTTAATAATTCATCAACTCAGAAGAATTTCTCACTGACATTTCCTATAATTTTCTCATTCGCTCAGTCATGATTACTAGTTACAGCATATTTGAACTTATTATACTGAATAATAAATATATATATATATCAGACATTCAAATTATAACTAAATTTATAGCATTATAATGTAATATCTAACACTGTATGGCGTTGTCCTTCCATATTCAGAAGGCATTCACGTAGACTGTAAATGCCATGGCCCACATGATGATAGTATAACTAGTAATGTTGACCCACTGACCCGCCGTGGAAGATGGCTAAGCTATTCATTGTACAGGTATACAGGATACATACACAAGTTTTAATTAAATGCATATTTTGATTTCTACAACATAGAAATACTCTAAAAAATGTAGATATCACCATCGAACTGTATAGATATGGCATTTACAGTCTAGATGAATGAAAGAGATTTTCAGGCAACAGGCTAGCACACCTATTTGCCCTAAAAGCTGTGTCATTCATACAGATTGTAAATGCCATATCACCACTTTTCAATGTCAATTAGTCACTTGTTATCATATTTTTTTCACACAGGGTAACAGTTTCAAATAATTTCCCACTGACCTCCTCAGCCTTGCGGCGTTTATCCTCCTCCTTCCTAACCTCCAACAGCCTTCTATCTTCCTCTATCCGCTCTTGCTTCCGTGATTCCTTTAATGTAACGCATACAAATAAATAGCATTTGTTTTCATGGACTGATATGCAAAAATGTTTTCTTTGAAGAATTCAGTCAGGAGAAAGTAGAATTTTATCTTTGTTGTAACCACAGAATTATAAACCAGTCAAAAATTAACAAGAAAATGGTGGGGGCATAAAAAAGAAATGTCAAAATTTCTTTGCTGTTTTTATGACAATAAAAGGATAACTCCACTGTATTTTTAGATGTGTGACGGTATATTGTGGTTATACTGTCGCAAATTGATTATTAAAAGTTTGATGGCTAGTACGGTATATACACTGTCACTTTCATCAGACAAATGACCAGTGAAGCATATGCACACAAAGGTGTAAAATGTGTACGAGTTGTCCACAAATCGATGTCGATTTGGCTATGCTGTAAGCAAACATATACAGCAATTATTATATATGTACCGAAATGACTCGATTCAGCTACGCTTCGTTTAATACTTGGTCATAGATGTGCGAGAGTCTATGAGCCCCCTCATCTCGATTTAGAACTGGTCCACTGCGGCGTATCCAGATGGCTTCCTTTATCTGCCACTTGAACAGATTGCTCTCTCTGTCCAATACTTTGCAAAAAATTGCAAATTGAGCATTACTTATGTTAACTATTAAAAGACAGTAGGGTTATCCCCTTTCAAATTCATATAAATTGAAAAAGTAAAAAAAAAATCCCAACACTTTTAAGAGATTGTGAGGAACGTTTTCTCTGCCATGGACTGGTGACATCAGGATCATTCCATGTGAGTCAGAATTACAATGAGCTCCAGCTATTGTTCATGACACCATTATCAGTTTCATGACGTGTCTTGGATTAGTCTGGGTCTAAGTGTTATGTTGGGAATTGCTTTAAAAGTTCACGATTGCTAATCACTATTCCTCATAAGATTAATGATTGATTGATCATTAAATGATTATAAGAATAAACAGAGAGGCTTGATACTTTTTAACTATCTAGCTATAGGCAGAAATGTTGTTGGATGCAGTTAATGGTAAAAAATATTTGTATAATCAGTTTTCTCATCTGCTCCAAATCTAAATGAAAGTTTCCAAGTTATGGTCAAACCATGGTTGATCATAGAAAATGGTGATCATTAAGTCAGAGTAGGAGGTAAAATCATTTGTTAGATCAATTAATTTACATAACACTACTTTTGATTTCTGTACTGCTAGCACCACTCACCCTCTTCTGGCGAAGTTGTTCCAGATCGTCAGCCTCCTTCTCGCGCTGTTCCCGCCTCATCTCTTCGTACTCTGCAATCTCACTTTCCACCTTCTCCTTCTTCTTCCTGGCGGCCTCCTGCACACAACACAAATGATGCAGAGTAAAACACAAGTCTTGTAGGTAACAGTGTGTGACAATCAAATAATGAATGTATTGAGTTACCATATACCATAATCTCTGACTCTAAGTAGGGAGTGGGCTTATTACAGGACAATGAAATAGTATTTGTTTACGTTACTACTGAACTGTAATAGATAGGGGTGGGTTAATTAACTGGCATGGGTTTATTGCCACATAAATACGGTATATTTTGGAATCGCCTGCATTTGTACTGAATACCCTAACATTGAAAATGTGCCATACTACAAGTTTTGACTTTGAAAAGTTCACACACTTAAACGACCTGAAGTTAGCAGGCTTGACCTACATTTTGACCATATATATATGACCTTTATTTCATTGTTGAGAACTCAACAGTTTTAAACAGATATTTGATGTCACAAAAATATGATGTCTTGCAAACTTATGCAACCATTAACTCATTCATCCCTGAAGAGTTCAAGACACATTTGAACTCCTCCAATTCAAAGGTTGGAATAGTTCATTATGAAATTTCAGGGGTGAATGAGTTAAAACACCTTACTGTCTGGCATAACCCAGCCAAGGAATTTAGGTTTGGGTATGTAAGTAGGTCAATAGATTTCGTTTATCTGACCCCAAAACATTTTGGCAGAAAATATCAATGACATTTTTGAGGTTGCGCCGTTTTTCCTGGGTTGGTTGTGTTATGCCAAACATACAAAATTTTTACTTAGGCCTTACCTCCATTGCTAATTTGGCTTCATTTCCATCCCCAGATCTGTAACACAAAGAGATGACAAATAAAACACCGGACACATATCTCTGATACAGTAAAACATTTTTTATGTGATAATATTCTTGAATAGTTTCATGTGCAAATCAAAATTTCTAAAGGACAGTAAATAACTCTACAGGCAGCAGGTGTAAGTAAGAGGTTTGCAGTATGATAGTATATGATACAACTTCTGTAGGACTGAAGGTGCCTGGTGTAAGTAAGAGGTTTGCAGTATGATAGTATATGATACAACTTCTGTAGGACTGAAGGAGGAGCATGTTAAAGATCATTACAGCAAGGATTACTACAGCATGTGGTTACCTACAAAACTATGACCCACATTGTATAGTTGGTAATTCACAGTGGATTTCGCTATGTTGAAGGTCATCAAAAATAGCAAGAAATAAAATACCCAGCAGATATTAATACCATGCGTTATGAACTCCGAACTCCTTGAAAATGTCACGATAGAAAAAGTCGATTTACCTATTTTTTTTACTAAACACTTGTAAAATTAATCCCATTAACCAAATACGAAAGGACCCTATTAAGTGGATTATTTTATCAGGGCCTGTTGCGTGAAATGTTCTTCCGTACCTCTTCTATCTTGCTACAGCTATATAATCTAAATGAAGATTTTACAATATTGTACCCTTTTATCCCTTTACCCAACTGTTATCCCCCTTTTTGTAAGGAGTTCCCTTACCTTTAAATTATCTCTCTTCTTTTAAAAGAAATTGTGCATGCTAAGCATTCTTAAAAACAACACCTTCACCAACACAGACACAACATTAGCTAATTGAAAAAAATCCTCTGACTAAAATATCAAAACCCAGAGATTCGTCACATTATTCAGACAGTTAGCTAACCTGAGATATCAAGTGTTATTATTCTACAGAAGTTCTATATATCTCACTTTATTTGGTTTCTCAGTTTTTTGGGATAGTAAATGAATTATCCATCTTCACATACAGTTTTAATATAAGTTTCTACCCCTTTTTTGGCTTGCTTAATTATTGCAAAATGATGATCATTTTGTTCAGCAGAAGAAATCACAAAAATAAATTGTTCACAGACATAGAGACTGATAACAGACACTTTACAATGGCATAAGTTTAACTTGGTCTTTCAGACCAGGTCAGCTAAAAATTGGTAAATAAACCAAAATTATTTGGTTTTACTTGACCACAAAAGCATTACATTCTTTGTTCATGTAGAAAGAAAAGACAATTAAAACATTGAACAATTACAATTCAGTAGATCATGAATGTAACACAGACAATTGTCCAGTTTGTAATTTATAAAGTCATGTACATAAAATCTTGACTTTAATCATTCTCATACATGCATCTTCTCTACTCCACACAAATTCTCTTAAATAACTGTCATGTTTGATAACCTACAGATGCTTGACATAAAAAGACATTGAAAGGGAGACTATAAGATTAACTCCCTTTAGCAAAATAAATGCAAATGCTGTATATATATATCCACCAATAAGCCCATGCCTGTTGATAAGCCCACCCATATCTATTACAGTTCAGTAGTTATGACAACGAATGCAATTTCATTGTCCTGTAATAAACCCACTCCCTAATTTTAGCCAGAAAATTTGTGGTGGCACCCCTTGGCTTAGATTGAAGGATAACTATGGTAATTAACAAACAAAATCTCCAAAAAACCACTAAAGCTCATGAACTATTTCAAGGTCATAGAACGAATTTAATAATGTCACCAGATAAAAGTTCAAGGTCTTCTAATATCAATGCATGTAGGTATAAGATGTTCTAGCTATTATCACTCAAACACAAATCCTTCGAAAACAAGATAATCAACAACAACACCCTGCAAAACACCTTTGCTACTAGCATTAGCTATGATCTTTACCCTTAACCTCTGTAGTTTAAGAAGAATGGCATTAGATTGTAACCTTTGGTAAACGTATACACACTTTAGTTGCCATTTTAATTCAAATTTCACATTAATTTTTTCATGCCAAATTCAAATTATTTTTGTTTCTAACAGCCCTTTCAACCCTTAATCTTAAATCTTTGCCATTTGATTTCATATCATTCTTTTCATAAATTTGTAAATTCTGTTTCTTGAAACTAAAAACATTCTTACATAGCCCGAGATATTTGTGTTGTAATGGTTAACACTCATATATATTTGAGTAAATTAAATATCAAACTTGTATAGGTACTGAAAACTGTGCAAAACTAACTACTGAAAAACATCTACACATGAATATATATCTTACTTGACACAACACACTTTCATCCTCATTTCTCGTTACAGAATTGTTGGGTAACAAGAAATTAAAGTCTCAAGGGAAATGTCACAAAGGGTTGCCATTTAGATTTAAGACAGACCGAAACAGAATCCAAAGTTCCCTGTAACCAAGAAAGCATGCAAAACCTATCTACAGGAAATCGAGACAATCTTTTTGTAAACATTCTCTGTCAGAAAGATCTGTACTGACCACACAAATCAATCAGCTACCAAAGGAAGTCTATCTGGTCATGACTTACTAGAATTTACAAACCAATCAAACGTCGGGTCAATTTCTAACGGCAACCAATCACAACTTGTGAACAATCTGTTTTTCATGACTTACTTAACAACGACCTTTGACTCCTCCACAGGTGTCTGCCTAGAAACCACATAATGATATCATGGCCAACCATACATAGTGATACAGTATCTCGACTAACCATGTATGGAGACATTTATCATGAAACCCAATGAAAATATTGATAATTTCAAGAACTGTAAAGTCAAATGTAAGTAAATAATGCACAATAAAATCATGAAGCTACTTCTAACATAAAAAATAAATACTTAAAATATTATATAATTTCATTACATTTATAATAGAAAAGAGGCAATTTTTAAATTTAATATTCTTTTAATTAATTTCTAAGCTAACTAGCACACAACAAATACTTACTTCATGTAAACAACAAATATTAAAATGTTTTTACCTTTAAACAACATTCATGTCTGGAAATTACTATCAGGTGACATGAAAGGGGTTCTCTCCTAAAACACACACACTATCAGTGGTTCATGTTGAACCATAATTAGATGTACTACCACATGTTTCAACACATGTGTGCAGGCTACTGTAATCAAATGAAATGTGACACTGAGTCTTACAGTAAAATATTCGGTGAACAATAATTGCCTTACATATAATTGTATAAAAAAAAACACGCTTTTGGATAATATTTTTCACCATTGAAAATGTTGAAATTTAATTTATTTTTTAAATCCTTCATTGGACCGAGATGATTAATCAAACAAATTAATGAATTTACTACCTACCAATTTTGTCACATTTCATTATCAACCCGTCTCTAAACTCTACAGCTAAAGTGAAGATGATGAAGAATGTTCTAACAAGGCACTGGACCATTCTATTTGAGAATTAGATCTACTGTTTTGTGGCCTACTTACAAGCCCCTGCTTCGCGATCTAGCATAAAATGAACTTGATAACTGATAATTAACACAAACGATACACTGACAGATTTGTTCATATATCTTGGTAAAAGGCCATCAATGTCTTGCATCAGCAACTTAACAGTTCGTAAATATTTTTTGCAGATTGTGGCTCAGATTGTTCAAACTCTTTTTCATTCTAGCGGCTATAATTCCATGTTAATTTTTAACTGACTAGAAGTATTGATAAAAACAGGTTTTTCAGTTGTTTTGCGATTGAATATTGTTAGTAAAAACGAATTGAGACTAAGTGTATGTTAATTTTCTTTTCTAAAGGAAAATCTACAAAAAAGTACTATTTTCCAAACAGTTGCCATGACAGCACTCACTCGACTGGAGGTTGTTCAGTGGGCTCCTCAGTGGGACTGCACAGTATATAACCAAACATATATCATATCACACTTACTACTTACTGGAAATATGAAATATTTACATTTTTATTTGTTTATACTGGGGATGAAATAATACAAACTGGCATAGGTTTTTGAATTCTATTAAGATTTCCATTCAAGTGAAAAGTCACTTTTAAGTAGCAAATTTTTGACAACGAGTTATCCCCCTTCTTTAGTATATAAAGACTAGAAGCTCAGTGTTTTTTACAGGTTTGAAACGAATGGGGACATTAGTAGTGTGATACGTGTATAGGCAAAATATATAGAAATTTATATGGGTGATGTATACACCATACGCCCCTTCTAAAAAACACTGGTCAAGCTGCATGTGAAAATATGTTGTTAAAAAATATACTGAATTATACAAGATTCTTTTCATATTATCTAAATACAGACTTCAAACAAGAATCCGGTTCTATCCCAACACATTTTTATTGTTCATTAATGGTAAAACAAGTGTATATTTCATTTGCTGATACAAAGTTGAACTAATTTCTCGAAATCATAGATGGTTAATTAAATTAATAGATAAAATATGAAAATCATAATATTTTGATTTTTCCTATCTCAGAAAAATTAAATCAACAGATCTGTTACACAACGATGAATAAAAAATATCATATTGTAATGTATTAAAACCATTATTACCTCCTGTTGAGGGCTATATATAATCCTATAATGCCATCAACAGAGTCAACAGTTCAGCAGTAAATCATTAAACTTTCCCAAGTACTTATTAAAACATAATTTGGCCGCCACATTGACAAATGAAAACAACATTAACATACTGTAAATTAGGACAGTTTTTGTCATAGTTCAACAATTTTTGCCTTTCAGGTTGAATTCATTATAAGCGGGAGCAACAGTAATCAACATAGTTATCAAATGTCAAGTGTGAGATTAAAATTCGGAAAATACAAATTTTACCAGCATAGGGCAAAACTTTGACAGGACAAAAGTTTTCCAGTATACAGTACAAATTAAGCTACCTGTACATGAATTTACATCAAAGAAATAAAATGTATTGTAGAGCATGGGCTTGTTTTTGAACATTACTATCGGTATATCACATTTTCAAAACACAGATATTTGAGCTGAATTTTACAATTTCATCATATCATTCAAATGAAAAATTTGAATATACTGTATTTTCATTTTACTCTCAGAACATTTAAGTTTTAAGTTAAAATTCTTGGTTAATTTAAAAAAGCTTAGTGTAGCTGAATTAAGAGAGCAAAAAATTTGCTGCTAATCATTAAAATAAGGTTAAATCTAGGAGCGGTATAACTGTTGAGTTAGCTAGGAACACAATGGAGACCATGGAACACTTTTTACTGGTATAATTTTCACATTACCGTAATAAATGTACAAAGTACACTGGTGACATGAAAGCTTATTGTTGGATGGGGCTCTTACCATTAAACATTTTTAAAAAGTGAAAAAACAAAGGTTTTGGTGATCGTTCATATAAAACGTATATTTTCCTTATCAATCGAAATGTCGTTTTCAGCAGCTGAAACCCACTTTCTGTCAGACAGGTAGCTGGACTATATTCAAAGTGCATGAAAAGTTCCCTAAGCACCACTATCCAAAAACATCTAGAAGATCTGTGATGATAGCTGCTGGCTTTTTGAGAGCAATATATGAGTGTTTAATTTATATTTAATATTTAGTTGGATAATTTTTTCTCAATATTTTTTTTACAGTACAGACATTTAATCACAATTTTGGACCACACACAAAAACTAACCAAAAGTACATTTGAGGATTTTTAATGAACACACAACTGCTCATTTGCTTACATGGTAGCGATGTGCCTGTATGTTACAAGAGTAAATATTGTTATTAACTCATTCACTCCTGTAATTTCATAATGAACTATTCCAACCTTTGAACTTGAAGAGTTTAAATGTGTCTTCAGGGGTGAATGAGTTAAGTGTGGGTATCAGACACTGGACAGAAGTTAACTACAATAGTGACTGAAGTTGGAAACAATCTTGAACTTTTTTTATTTCAGTTCTCGGGGAAGCATGTGACGTAATTAGGTACTTATTACAACAAATACGGTAATGATTTTTGAAACTGTATTAATACTTATGTTACCTTGAGTTAAAACATTTTAGAGAATGAATTTGTAAATCAGTAAAATTCTTCCATGGTTTACAATTGTGTTCCCTTACCTGAAAACAAAAGCGGCCACAACAATGACAAGAATATTATAAAAAGCTGAGTTATTGAAAATTGTAATTTCATAAATGCTGCAAAAAAATCCTGATTAATTTGACTACAGCAAAATTATACCATGAAACAAACAGAAATATTTCTGAAAAGAACAAAGTCTTTTAAATCTAAAAACAGATTTAGTCAGTTCAGACAGTCCCTTACCTCATTCACCCCTGAACTTTAATAATGAACTTTTCCAGAGTTGGAAGAGTTCAAATGTGTGTTCAGGGGTGATTCTGAAAGAATCTAGTAAATTTCAAGACCTCCCTTGAAGTTCAGTTACAAGAACAAATTATCTAAATATGAATGGCCAAATCATAATCATGAAAATACTTGCAATGATAAAACATCACACGTTTACTTTTTTAAATCAGTCCCAGGTATTCTAAAAACTTTCAAAATAATACTCATGCTGGAAATATTTTTCTAGAATGTTTTTGCTCTGTGGCTGTTGTCAAAAATGTGTACACACTTAACACCAGGATGGCAATGTAGCCAGGATAGAATTGTAATCACACTATTACATGTATTTAGGGCATTCAGGAGTGAAATGTTAATGAAGAGATGTTTTTTTCTTCTAATTTAAATGTTGTAATTCTGTAAGAAATTAACACATGATTTCCCTACAAAAGGACAATTTTCTAGAAGAATTTCTTTCAGATAGGTCATAGAAATTGCAACAAATTAAAATCACACCAAAAAAAAAGAAATTGTGAAGGGAGTTATTTCCCTTTGACCAATAGACTTGGCTGTCTGAAGATCAAAATCTTTTTTGGGTTAAAAACATCAAACTACTACATAGCTATAAATACAACAACTTACGTTTCTTGGGTCTCTTCTCTGTAAGCAAAAATTTAAAAAGTAAAGCTCTGTTTTACGCATGTTCAAAGAAGATGTAAATTATTTTACATCCCCAAAGATAAATCTCGCACTAGAGACAGGGAATTCAAATTGACGAATATACCGCGTAGATCAATGGGCTCAGTTGTCGGTACAGTTCTACATAAGCAATTATCGACAATCTGTAATTCTATTCATACTCCTTGTAATCTGTCATGGTAATAATGAAAGTAGAAATGATGAGCAACAACACCACTGCATGATAATGTGATGGTAATAGTTTAATGAATACAATATTTACATTCCGAGGTGATTACAGTGTGTTTCGGCATGTACTGGACAAAATATCCCTCATTTATATATTAGACTTCTGTTACAGGCCATTCCTGAACTTCCATCTGTTTTCTTTCTTAGCATGTTCAAATCACAATCATATGAATGCCTATGAAATTAAAAGATTATTTATTTTATTTTGGATATCCCAAGGTGAAAACCCATACTACATACTACTGAAACAAATTACTTTTTCTATATTTTGCAATAGCTTAGGGAGAAATTAACCATGGCATTTAAATTTCTCATAAGATTGAGCATGGAGAAAATCGTAGCTTTTCTTTCTTTTCCATTTAAAAAGATATATAAATGGGAGAGCAACAATTCTGAAGCCTGGGCCTATACTCATGAAACCATTCCAATGCTCAGATTCTGATTTTATGCTCAAGCCCATTTTTTTTTATCCAGTGATGAATTCATTAAATTCTACATATTGTCAATGATTAACCAGATACCTTTATTCAGTATTTACACATGAACTTGTGGCTATGTCACATGATTTAAATGAGATACAAAATATTTAGATTGAGCACAGAGTCCATGCTTGGGCATGAGAATGTTTTCATGTCTAATGAATACAGACCCTGGTTTCCAATAAGTATGCTCTTATTATTTCATAGTTGCTGACATGCTTTGGCCTCAGCTTGGCAAGCTGTCATAAGCATACAATTTGTTTATTAATTGATGGATCGTTTAATTAAGTCTTAGAAGTATGGCAATTCTTATAGAGTGTCTAATCTGAAAATCATAACCGTTTATTTTAGTCAATGACAATACATCTGAAGGTAACGGGTACCATTGCATCAATTATTACCACAAAGAAGAGTTCCACTCTGAGTTTGGTTGACTTGGAGTAATCTCCCCTGTATGTAGAAGATGAAGCAACCAAAAGAGTTTTTCTTGTTTCCTATGTCAAGTTATGTATCTTTCAAATGATCTTTTTTTAAACATATACTTTGCAGATAATGAATTGGACACTCAATATATATGATACTGTTCATTTATAATTCCTGTATGGCAACTCTGATAAAGTGTAGACTTTGCAATGTAAGGGTTCTGAGTTCAACCCATTGCAGCTTATAACCTTCAAATTTTGAACAATTACAATTCTGTAAAATGCATCGCAACATATATTTTTTATGGAAGACATCTTTTTAGGAGAGTTTTGATAAATATTTCCCACTAGTGACAGTGGTAATATTATGATTCAACTTGTTGGTACCTTTTAACTTCATATACAAATCGAGCTAATATAAATGCAAATGCCGTTGGTATTAAGTACTCTTTATATGAGATAATATCTCATGCATCAACAATATCTTCATATTACTTCCCAATTGTGTTTTAGTTGATTTAGCAGTCAGTTGTGGTAGTCTTGCTATGCCCAGTAATATTGCACATCAATATTTGAACATATTTCAAGTAGTAGCCTTGCTCAAGTTCAATTTCTTTGATTTTTTTAAAGAATTAAGTCACATGTAACTTGGTCCAAAGATTCTAAACCCAAGCTATAATATAAAATAAAAAAGTGGAAGCTTAAAACTAGCACTTGATTTTTCAGATCTAAAGCATTAACAAGATTAGGGGAAATGTCATGTTAGGGGAAATATGGGAGTACCTTTTAAGAATATTTTTCTTATCAGAATCAGAATATTAAAATTACATTTAGATAGAATAAACATTCCTCTTAATAATTTAAACATTTCTTTTGTTTTTATTTTCTACAAGAATATTGTTTCCTTTCGTATGCAGTGTACATTTTGTGACTGAAAAATACCTATTGTGGTATAATTTAGCAAACAGATAAGATTGTGAGAATATTTATGGTTTAACAGGAAATGATATTTACTGTGAAACTTACCTTGGTTCATCGTCGTAATCCATGGTGAGAGTTAAATGTTACACAAACTGCAACAAAAACAAACAAGTTTAAATGAAAATGGTCCTGCTAACATTTGAACAACAAATTTGGGTATGGATTACATTTCTTGATGGAACACAATTTCTGGGAATTTTTAAATGTAGGAGAATTTATTGTTCTGATAGATTTTCCCCAAAACTTCTCACCTTACCTGCAGATTCTTATATTTCTAATCAAGGTGTGATAAGGAGAAATAAGCATGGACAAAAAACCCATAGTATAAAACTATTCTCTATGTAGGAAAGCTTTCTTTTTTTCTCCAACATTTGTGCGTTTTAAACCAGATCAGTTTATAAAGAAATTTAAAATAAAGAAATTTGTTATTAAAACGTTATGTACATTTATAGGATATTCAAATCCTCATCCCAACAGGAATACAAGACTGTATAATTTAAGGCATATTTTTTTTGAAAATAAGATATTATAACCTGTTACCTAACAGGGAGTGCTTGAACAACAGGGGGAATAACTCTGCTAGCCTCATCTTGTGATAATACACTGCAGATGGAGTAGACTTACAACTTCAGAGATTCTATGTAAAGTAATACTGTGCACAATAGATTTGACATTATTTTAGAACCTAATGCTTCACATCACAAGGAAAACTTAAAGAAATAAAAACACATTTTTATGGTACCAGGTATTCAAAATATCTTTTCTTGGTGGATTGCAAAATTTCTCTTTGTAGAAAACAACTTCTTGTTTCCTTTCTATCTTACTTAACTGATTTTATGTTATTTTTGTAATTACATAATGTATGTAATAAACATCAGAGAAATATTAAGTCCATAATGTCGATTTGGAATTTGCAGGGAAATGTAACCTGCTTGAAAGTAATCTGGGATGTTGACTGACTTGATCCAGCTGATAAGTAATGGAGAGACGTGGTGTGTATGACTAACTGTCTGGTAATCTGACCTTAACCTGCTTAACAGGTTCCACTTGTTGATTATGACATAATTTCTGATGAACGAGAAAAAAAGAGTTGCTTTATGTTAAAAAAACTGGAGAGTGATGTTCTGAATTAGTGTTACAAACACAATACACACTATGTGCCTGGAACATACACTTATGTTACAATACTATACACAATGCAGCAAGGAGACAAACATAAATAGTAGGGGGTGGGGATGGGGGATGGGAATGGAGCCAGAGGGTATCTTAGGGAGGAGAGAGCCTAACTAAGGAGACAGACATAAATAGTAGGGGGTGGGGATGGGGGATGGGGAGGAGCCAGAGGGTAGCTTAGGGAGGAGAGGGCTTAACTTATAAAACTATATAATATTATACCGATTTAAAAGATATATTTATTTTTTATATATTTCCAAAAATATCTCTTGGGGATAACCTGATCCATCCTACACGGTTTGGTCTCATCTGGAATCCCCTTTATTTCCCACCTAGGACCCCTCTCCTATCAAACAAACATCTTTTGAGACAGACCAGAGCCCATGCATGAAAACTAACCTGAAAGGGGCTCTTTATTAAGACAACAAAACACAGGCTGTGGTAGTTACTGTAAAGGAGACAAAGTTGTCGGACACATTAACAGGGAGAATTAAGAGTAATAATAAATATTATTATTATATTGAATTATATTAATATTGATAATAATCAAATGTTATACAATATATATATATACATTTTTTTTCTTTTCTAAAACAATGGAAAACGGTCAGATTGCAAGACTATAGTGTCTAATATAACGTGTACAAAATATAATATATCTTGTTAACAAGATCGAGAGGCCAGAATGGAGGGTGTTTGAGAAAAGGGGGGGCTTTTATCATTTAATAAGTGCTAAAAAATTGGAGGGACATTTATTTAAGTGTACAGGGTAGTATCATGATCAATGTATCTGTCCTCCTGAGCGTACCCGTGCTCTAGGGCAGGCAGCATTCCGACCAAATGCTGCTGATATATGCAGTAATTATCAGAGCTAATTCAGGCCATTATTGCCTATCCTATTCAGGTGGAGATCTGAAGGTGTTGCCCTTTATTTATTGTTGGGTGGCTGGGAGAACATTTCTCCCCATTAGTATCAGCTCTGCTGCAGTTTCTGCACACCAAACAAGAATCAACTGGTAAGTATAAAAGCCTTGTTAGCTTCAGGTCTGTGATGAAAATTTTTGTCTTGTTGAGGAACTTTTTTCTAAACAAGTACACTAGAAATTTCTGCTACCTTTCCTCATTCTTTTTAGAAATTCAAAACAAAAGACCTTTATGTGAGAATTCAAGATGATAACCTTTGAAAATGTTTAATAAAAGTTTATGCCGAAAAATAAATTATACAAAATATCACACAGATGACGAAAACAAAAATTTTGGTTAAGCTAACAGGACATAAACTTCTGCAACTGATTACCAGTCCTTGGGATGTAATTATCAACTATCAAACATAAAAAGCTTTGTCAGCTTCTGAAAACTATTTCTGTATGTCAGTCAACTACTTACATATTTCTTGTTTCAACTTAGCTTACAGCGCAACACTGAAGGTCAATTAAAAGAAATAAGGTAACAATTCTGTCCTAACATTAAGGGTAACTTAAGTCATCCCACATAGATAACTTTATATGAAACAGGAACATTTGTAACCTCAGAATGATGTAATCAAGTTCTCTGCTATAGGCTAACCAGGCACTGATGGTGAGAGAAAAACACATAAAATGTCCTGGCTCTGCTAGGAATCCTCATGGATAACATATGATATACACCTAACACAAGATTCACCAGATCCACACACACGTGTAGGTCTATTTCGAGCCTGTCATGGTCGATCCAGCTGTAACTGTTAACCCTTCGATATTTTTAGAAAGTTGCATTTTACAACCTTTTGCCTGTCTGTTGTATTTCCTATACAAGATGCCTTTAGGCTCCTGAGTGTTGAAGAAAATGTGCTGATGACAGAGTTGTCTCCCCTACATCTAGAGCTCTCATCTGTCTTCAGATGCTCTGACAGGCTAATGATAACTTTCACTTTGTCTTTGAAGTGAAATCTGTTTCTTTTGAACAACATATGGGTCATATGATCTGTTAGGTATTATTCAATTTGTTAGGTGTTATAAGATTTGTAAGGTGTTATAAGATGTTAGGTGGTTTAAGATTTGTTAGGGGTCATATAAGTTGTAAAAGTCTTGATGATTTGTTAAGAAGAGACAGATTTCAGATCACAGAAGTTTATTCTTCATCGATTAAGAGATCTGACATGAGTTACTCCCCAAACCGGGAGTCAAACCCGTGACTACCAGCCTGTCGGTGTTTAACTGTTGTACAATACTGAGACTTCACATGTACAGCCGACTGGGGCTACATAGATTTTATATCGCTAGGTAAAGTTTAGTTTATACGGCATCTCGTAAGGCCCAAATCAGAACTCTTTCTTCTTTGATCGGAATGAGAGAAAGACTAATGACGATAGAGCAAGACTTCATTGCCATCATATTTATTTCCCTTGCTGTCACTTTTTTTGTGACTTCAATTCTCGCCATGGCGTTGCCACCACAGTTCTATCCCTTGCTGTCATGTTATTGTGATCTCAATTCTTACCATGGTGATCTCGCTATATCGTGATATCATTTTCTCACATTTGGGTTAAGGGTGTGAAAACTGTTATAAGGTCCTAATCAGACACTATAGGTTTGCATGGACATATATATATCCATGTCTAAATGATTCATAGTTTGATTTACAACGGTATGAACATATTTCATATAATCCAACAAGGAATAACATATCAGCAAGAGAAAATGTGTTACATTAATGTACCACGAAAATACACATCTCACAAAACATGTCATTCTTACAGTAAGGCTAGCCACAATTTATAGATTATGGTTTGAGAGTTCTAAAATATATATATTTATATGTCAGTTTTCAATCAAAACAAGAATATTTTAATTGTATTAAAAAGTATATTTCAGAAAACAGTAAAAGATGGTGTATAAGTTATAAATAGGTCTGAACTATGAAATGTTGATGACATGAATAAATGGTAGTAGTAACTTATTGCTAGTCTACATGGCTTGTACTAGGCCTAACGTCTCATCACTGACTGCCCCTCCTCCCCTCCCTCCCCATTCGTCAAATCATCATACTTCTACATACAACATACGTAAGCTCTTTATAGCATAATTATGGTATAATTTGGATTTTTACATGAAGTTACCATCAATCTACTAATATATGACATATAATGAGATACAGTACAAAACCTGAACACCTCCTACTACACGTATATTTGTAAATCAAGACCTTGAGTAACATCCAACAAAATGTCTGACGATTACAGAGGAGAAGAGGTTTACAAAGACATTAAAATGATCTGTAAGAAGTTTTACATCAATTTGGTGATAAAATAGAGAAATAATTAGAAAACCAATCTGTAAAAATTCCATGAACCATGTCCTGATACTCACGTACGCCCAAGGAGAAGCTAAACCCGACAAAATGTCCGACAGTAGAGGAGAGTTGCATTGACATTAGCATTACTTTAAGAAGTTTTACAGCAATTTAGTGAGAGAGAAAAAAGATAGATAAATGAGAAAAATATCTGTAATAATCCCTGAAACATGTCTTGATACTTACGTCCTGAGAGAAGTTAAATCCCACAAAATGTCTGACAGTAAGAGAAGAAGGAGACTACTGCTGTAGACAGGGAATGTATCTAGAGGCTGCAGACTCACAGAGGTATGTACTGTGCTATCTCCCCACACTGCCAGGCCCATGTGGCTATCCAGTTACCTACATACCATCACAGAGGGATACACAGACTGGGAAGAGGTGTCACAGAGAGGGGGATCTGTCGCCCCTGGTTCTGTAGTGTGGTCACAGGCAGGGGGTCCTAGTCCAGTAATGTGATAGATGGGATTACATCCTTACTTGTAATATCATATGGTCAGTATAGCTACATTTGTATTCCAGTGAGGAGGCTGGTTTTGGCTGTTAGATTGTCTTGTGTACTGATCAGATCCTATCCCTTAGGGGGTATTTGTATCACTGTTTATATTGCCTGAAACCCAACCCAGGGGTCAATGTACCTGAACCACAACCCTTGGGCCATTTTGATATTGCCTCAAAACCTTAACCCAGGGGCCAAAGTTTTATTACATTAACCCTACCAATGACTTTTCCCTAAGCCCTACTCCAGGGGTCAATGTGTTATTATATTACCAGGTACAAAAACCCTCAGAGGCCATTGACTTATTTCCCGATGCCTTATCCTTGGGGTCAATTTGTTTTTACCTAAACTCCACCCTAATTGTCAATGTATTGCTTTCTAGGGAGTCTGAACCTTATAACTTACAACATACATATGGGGTTTGACAAAACAGGAGAGTCATTGATTGCACTGAAAAAAAAAAAAGTTTCAACTGAATTGGAACTGTGATACCACTTGACATTCAGTGTGTCCAGTCATGTCACAGTATTCAGTCCCTGTCTCTGTATCTAGTCCCCGTCTCGGTATCCAATCCCTCTCTCTGTATCTATAGTCCCTGTCTCTGTATCCAATACATGTCTCTGTATCTAGTCCCTGTCTCTGTATCTAGTCCCTGTCTCTGTATCCAGTCCCTGTCTCTGTATCCAGTCCCTGTCTCTGTATCCAATCCCTGTCTCTGTATCTAGTCCCTGTCTCCGTATCTAGTCCCTGTCTCTGTATCCAGTCCCTGTCTCTGTATCCAGTCCCTGTCTCCGTATCTAGTCCCTGTCTCTGTATCCAGTCCCTGTCTCTGTATCAAGTCCCTGTCTATGTATCCAGTCCCTGTCTAAGGGACCACCTGTCTAAAGAGATCACCTGTCTAAAGAGATCATCTGTCCTAAGAGATCACCTGTCCTAGGAGATCACCTGTCTATAGAGATCACCATTCCTAAGAGGTTGCCTGTCTAAAGAGATCACCTGTCCTAAGAGATCACCTGTCCTAAGAGATCACCTGTATCAAAAGATCACCTATATTAGTGATAGCACACCTGTCTGATTAAGATATATTCTAGAAGCATATTAAGGAGCTTGTCGTACTTAATTGTAAGAAGATAGTAAAGTATGCGTCATAATCAATATATTATCAGGCTGCCTGCAGTGAAACAAAAGAGTATAAATGCTGAGACTTTCGATGTTGACACCTTATGAAAAAATAAATATATCTGAGACAAAATTTTAAAAATTCAGAGACAAAGAGAAAGAATTTGGAGAATCAGCGATCCAGACAAAAAAATCATGAATAAAAATTATTCAGAGACCAAGATGTGAACATGAAGTAAAGTTAACATACTATACATCACCTGATAAAGGCTACGGGGTTCAAATCACAAACATTTCATAGATTCCTTTACATTGGCAGTGTAGATAGCTGTGGAAATTTGAAATGGAGTACACCATTACAGCTCACAGAGTATATTCCATACAGTGTAGAACTTTGAAATGGGTAACTAGTAAATGAATTTATATATAGCACTGATACCAAATGCAGGGTTCTAATTTTTGTAGTAACAATATTTCTATGACAATACAACCCATTAATT